ACTCAGTGAACTTCTTTCAATCTTCAGATTATATAATTATTAATATATTGTATAGAAGCTTCTGTGTTCACTAACACTTTTGCAATCATTTCTTGATTCTTACTCAAGTATCTCTTATACATTAACATTTCAGATCTTAAGACATTGAGATGAGTGTTCACTTCATTCTCACTCACATCTTATTTGAGAGCCTGCTTCTTCTTTGCATTCACAGAATTCAGAGAATCATCTAATACAGACATCTCTTTCACTTTGAAGACTTTTTATAGAATATCAGTGAGTATCTTCAAGCTCACTGATTCTGCTAGTTTTTTAACTCTCTTGCTTCTCTTGACTGTACACACTGAGTGTAATCTTTTACATCATGATTTTAACATTCACAGTTGAAGCAAGCTCAATGCTCATAATATCAAGATTTTCACTCAGAGAATCTCTTTTTCAGAGAATTCAGCACTTTAGCAATAGTATTCAGATCTAGATTCATCACATTCAGATGTATAACTTGTGTTATAGAAGTCTGATTATCTGTTCTCTGCTGAGATATACTCAATTGCAGTATTTTCTGTTACAATTGACTCACTTATTTTCATATAATGAGAATATTGTATGCTTTCTTCACTGTGTTTGACTGTAAGATTAAACATTTTCATTTCACTCTCAACTCAGATGTAAGATCATGAATAAAGATCTGTAAATAGAAAGATATTAAAAGCTCTTCATTCAATATGAGATAGTGTAAGCTGAAGTGTATGAAGTATGATATAAGATTACTCACTTATCTACACTCAGTGAAGCATTTATAACACTTATTTTATACATTCACTTTCTCAAAGTTGTGCAAGATTCATTTGGAAAACTCATTTCATATTCATGAGAATGAATATCACTTCAAGTCTGTGAGATTTATCTTTTTATCAGTTATTTATAATGACTTCACTTTTCTGTGTAGAAACATAGCAGATCTTAAGACTTGTTAAAATTCTGTTAACTATCTGTCTATGAGTTCACATTCAATTCAATAATATAATCATATCTGACTTAGCCAGCTGATTGCAGCATCATTTTTTCAGTTATCATTGAAGCTTAATAACTTCAGCAGATCTTTCAGCTTGATATATTTCATACTCAGATTCTCATTCTGCACAGCAGTCTCTGATGATGTGTACACTTCTGAAGAGATCATGAATAATTGTGATAAGATCTTCAGATTCAGTGTAGTTATCTATCTGTGTAAATGTTCAATCTTCTGCTGCAGATCTAAGATCTGGTTTTCTCTATTCTTATTAATAATGATAATTGCATCAGTGAAGCTCTTCATAGTAAATGCTTGATTCACAGTAAATGTCAATTGTTATTTAGCTTCTGCCTTGGCCTGCTACTGTGTACACAAGGTCTCAATCTCATTTAGAATTCTTGTACATGTATAGAGCTTTAATTTCAGTTCAGCAGTTTCAGCTGTTTTTCTTACTGCTTTGAGTAAACTCTCTGAGAGATTCTGCATATCTTTCAGTTCAGATAGCAGAGAAGAGTGTTATTCATATTAGCTAGAGAAGGTATTCATTTCAATGATTTCTCATTGATTGTATAATATCTATTATTATATCACTGTATCATTATATTACTGTATCACTATATTATTATATGATTTCTGTTATTATTATATAACTTCAGTGATGATTATCTCTCTCTTTTATCTCTTTAGATGAAGAGCAGTCTTCTTTGAATCTAGTTCACTACTTTCATCTCTTTTTCTCACATCTTATCTGTTTGCATATGTGACATTTGTCTGAGTGTGAAGTTTTTCCTTAATAAGTGAAGCAGTATCAATCAGATGCTCTTTCACTCACTGCTCTTTATATACTATCTTTTGAGATATTCTAGAATCACACTGACATGATAACTACAAATTGCTTTGTAGACAGAATTATCATACTCTGAAGAAGTCTGTGCTTCTCACCAGTTTTTAGACATGCTATCAGATGTGATTCAAAGGTTGCTTAAGCCAGTGTACAATTACAGATGTACACCGGCTTCTTATATATTGTAATATCATATGCTAATTTAATTAGCGGCCGCTATGACCTCTTTACACTTGTACGCATACGCTAGTAGTTCGGAAGCGGCCGCGTTATTATCCGACGGTCGTACGTTCTTCCGAATCACACTTAAAAAGTGTGATCAGAATAAACTCTGCTGTCACTTAAATAATATCAAGAGTAGAATACTGAAATCAATGATTTCTCTCATTAATTTCATAGATAAGATGTATAAAGATAATCTTAAGAAATATAAAATTTCTCAACTTCTGATAAAAACAGATCTCATAAAGAGACTCTATTTTCATAATATCAGAGACTGAGTATTATTAAAAAGTATTACTTTCATACAATGTATATACACTTACTGCAGTGATTAACTCTCTGTATATATAACTGAGAGTTACAGCTTTCTCACACTGTATAGCTCTCTCTGAGATACTGCTGTTAGTTTACAACTTATACAGTCTCTCAGTTCAGTACACACTGTATATATACAGCTTTGCATGCTGAGACTGTGTTGATCATTATAATCTGATATGATACTCACTTTTCACAGATCATGTTTTATTTGAGAGAGAGAGAGAAGATGCAACTATTATTTTATTAAAAAGAGAATGAATAATTAGTACTATTAAATGTAATTTAATTCATCTGTATTTAAAATTTGATTAGTCTATACTCTTCAATTTGAGAGTTTCTAAGAGTGTTTTAATAGTTTTCATACTAGCTTGAACTTAGTGATAAGTTGAAGAAGAAGAGAAAAGAGAGAAGAAAGAAGTAAGAATAACTTATCTTTATAATATAAAAATAGAGAATTGCTACAATTATTCTTTCTAGTAATAAAGATCTGTTTTCTGCATGTATCTCTGATATAAATTATATGATAAATGTATACAAAGAATATCAATAGTATATGTATTGAATGAAGATAATATTACTATATAACACTGTAGTCATTTCTGTACATCTCTGAAAGCTGTTAATAGTTTCTTTATCACTTTATATTTAGTAAGTTAATAATATATTCTGATGCACTTCTTCTTTCATTATTATTATTATTATCATCATTATTATCATTATTATTATCATCATCATCATCATTATTATCATTATTATTATATTATTGCCTGTCTTCATCTCTCTTTCAATACTTATTAAAATTAATTATATTATCTCTCTTCAAATATTCTGTGATTCTGCGGATTATCAAGGTTAGACTGACTGTGTGACTGTGTCTGAAACCAGGACCAGATTTTTTATATTGTCTTATTACCAATTTGACTGATTTCATTACATGAATTTAACATTAGATAGTAGTCTCATACTGTTTCAGTGAGACTTACTGTCTACTCTTATCACATTTTTCAAATGAGATCATGATTTTTACTTCTCAATTTAAATTATTTTTATTGCTTTAAATAACTTTAAATCTTATTTAAGCATTATTAAAAAGTGTTACTTTTTAAAAAATTAAAAATAGTCTAAAAAAATCTTAAAATGTCTAAAAATAGTAACTTTATATCAAGAATGAGACTAAATAAAATTAAATGAGATCACTTTCTTATTTTTTTCAAGTCATGGTTTCATTTTAACATCTGATATATAGTCACTTTACATGTTTTTTTAATAGTCAGTCTCAGTGAGATTTACGCCAAGAAATGTATGAGATCAGATTAAATGAGATTAAATGTGAAATTCATAATCTCAGCAGCCAGTCTAATCAAGGTGCGTGAGCACTATCACAGATTGAAGAAAGAGAAGAAGAAGATGTTTAAGTACAGAGAGACAGATTACAAGACATATTATAATATCTTGAAGAGACTCTGTAAGAGAGTAAAATGATAATAATTTTAAGTAACACTTCTGATAGATTTAGACTGAACTAAGTATAGAAATAATACAGATGACACTGTCTGTAAGAGATTGAAAAAGAAGACAGTGAAGAGTCTTATACAGTAGTGATAAGATCAGAAGAAGTCTCAAGAATGATTTGAGATCAAGATAAAGAGATAGAGAAAGAAGAAGAGTATTACTATAAATAAGCAGTAGCAGAAGAAGATTAAGAAGATATTAAAATAAGAGATAAAGAAGTCAAAACTGATAAGTTCTTTATCAAGAGATAATGATTTTTGATAATACTTCTATTCTCTAATTGATGAGCAGAAGCTGATAGAGAAGAAGAGAATTAAGATCTTATTCAGATCTCAAATGCACTTCATGATTCAGAATATTGAGAAGACAGCTCTGCTCTTTGAGTATATTAATCTACTTACTGCTGAAATGAAACCTGAGACAGCAGACTAGAAAATGCAGGATTTTAAAGCACAGATTGATCTGACTGAGAGAAAGCAGTAGAAACTCTTCTCTGAGAAGACAGTAGTCAAAGATTTTGAGATGATTATTATCTCAGATAAGAAGAAGAAGAAGAAGAATAAGAATAAGAAGTAAATTATAAAAAATAATAAGAAGAATGAGAAAGAGAAGAAAGATAATAAGTAGAAAAAGTTTTTTTCTTTTTATATTAATTAGTTATAGTTCATAACTATTAGTTAATAATTAAAATTAATTTTGAGTTTTAAAAAATTATTATACAAGTTGTAATCAATTATCAATATCAGAAATAATATATATATATATATTTAACTATCATATCACTATAATATATAAGTTGTCAGGTCACGTGATCTGGCTTACTAATCCCTTCACCATATAACTTTTCACAAAGCTAGCAACCTTTCAATCACACAAGCTTTACATCTTTCACAGGTTATGAGACCCGTTTTGCGCAAAATCACTGCCAATTCAGGATTCCTTGTCAATATACTCATTATTTGAACTACTGCTTCATTTGATACACCCATCAGGAGTTAAAATCATCTTATTCTATCAGTATTGATGCATTTGAGATCTTGATAATCAATAATACTACTGCTCACTTAAAAAAGAGACTTGCAGAAAACACATCACATTTGCAAAAAAGCAAGAAAAAGAGAACAATATTGGCAAGGATTCAATAAATGAATATCAAGATGGCGGATTCAATACAATCTCACCCACATACACATTCGCGATCTCACATCCTTTCCACTGGATCAGTTGCAGTTGATGATGATGATTCTTCACACTCACGCTCTGCCAGTGGACATCCTCCTGGAGCCTTTGAAAGTTCCACTGGTGGACATTCTCCTGGAGCCTTTGAAAGCTCCATTGTCGAAACACCCTCTCAATTCGAAGCTGGTTTGAATACAGCTCCTGACACAGTCAGGCCGGCCCCCCGATCTACTCAACAGCTTGATGAAGCTGGTTCTCTTGATGAGAATATTGGACACCCAGATGTCTACCGTTCGGGCGGGGCAATATCAGACCAACAGATGGAACATCTCAAGATGACATTTGAGATAGAGAAGGAGAGGCGTAGAGTCCTAGAACTCGAACTACAACTGGAAAAACTCCGTCAACAGAGATCCTCTACGGATCGACCACAGGATGTCAACAATCATCCTGCCACCACCTCAACAGCTACAAAAGCTACAACACACAACCCGAAGGTCCTACTCAATGCAGCCTGCAAAGCGGCTGCGGCGATTCCTTCAGCGACACCAGGCCTACTGACTGCAGCCCATAAAGAGACTGCAGCGATTCCTGATCCATCAATTGATAATCTATTCATTGATGAGGAAATTTGATCTGAGTGTCCATTATTTCTTGTACCCCACTAATAATTGGTGGATTGACTATGATATCTCCGCGAGAATACCTACCCTTTTAGTGCAGAATACACTGAACTCCCTGGAACTCACAGTTGAATCTGATGATCCTCTGACATCTACAAGGGATATCACTATAGTGGGGGAAGCTTCAGTGAGGGACAGTCTTGAAGACCTACTCACTGATCCCGAGATTGCTGCACTTTCAATCCCGAAAAACCTCACGCGCGTCAAAGCTTTCATGGAATGGAAGTATTATTACAAGGCCTGTGTTAAAGAGGTCAACTGTTTGAAATATACACATTGGAAAGAGAATATAAAGAAGATAGAGGGATAGAGAGATAAAAAATGATATATATCATGACTGGTTTTTCATTGCTACACTTTTTCCAGTCATTTTTTATATCTGTACTTGATTTAAAGGCGAATTTTGTATATAGCATTGTGTATAGTTACTCTGGTGAGTGGGGGTGTCAGGTCACGTGATCTGGCTTACTAATCCCTTCACCATATAACTTTTCACAAAGCTAGTAATCTTTCAATCATACAAGCTTTACATCTTTCATATAAGTATCAACATTTTTTCAATATTAATATTTATAATATTAATATATTTTTAATAATATTATCTGATAATATAATTTGATAACACTCTCTTTTATAATATTAATATATTTCAAGAAATATAACAAAGATTAATCAAGATTGTTTATTTACTTTTATATATTAATAATATTCAATCTGAGTTAGTACTAAAATTATAACTAAGCTAAGAAAGAAGATTATTTTCTCTTATATTAATTCTTCTTATATATATCAGTAATCAGTTATTGAAAATAAATTATTATCTTTTTTAAATTATTATTATATTTTCTGAATTCACTTCTTTTACTTCTTTTACTTCTATTAAAGATTTATAAACTCTTTAAGAAATCACTGTAAATTACAAAGTCTATATTATTTATAATTTAACACAGAATACTCTCTTTCAATTATAATAAATAATCATTTCATTCTTTATATCTGATTCCAGGTCATGAAATTTATGAAAAACTCAACATAAACACTGAGATAAACTATGAAATAATTATTAATAGATTGTATTATAGATTACTGAAGAGTTATCTCTTTACTATAATTACTATAACTTTATTTAGAAATATTTATTATAAACTGATTATAACTCTGAAGAAATTTTCTAACATCTGAAGTCATCAGAATGCAGATAATAAAAGAAAAATAATTAGAAAATTACTACTGAGTTAGTAAGTTACTCTATCAGATAATGATTTTTAGTAATACTAACTTTCTAATTTAAAGAAAATCATGTGAAAATAATTATATATTAGTACTCTGATTTCACAACTCTTATCTGATAACTTCTGTGAATAATTACTTTATATATATATATCTCTGAATCTTTCTCTTTGATTAATTGAAAATTCTGAATTCTGAACACTTCTTCAAATACTTAATTTAAATCTTCATATTTTATATTAATTCTGTCTTCAGTTCAATCTTGAGATACACTATAAAGTTAATATATAATATCTAAAATCAGAGTTAAAGAATCATTGAAGAGTGTCTCTCACAGTGAATGTATAAACTAGTATAAACAATCTTACATTTATGAAAGTTATATATTATTATATTAATGAGAACTGAACTTATTAAGAGATATTAATTGAATTTAAATCATTGATCAGTAGTTATACTGAGAATTATATAATAGAGATATTAATGACTGTGATTGAAAATAACTATTAAGATATTAGTCTCAGTCTTCTTACAATTACAACTGATAATACTGTGAATAACTATACTATGATGAACAGCTTAGAGTAAAAATTGACTTTGTATTTCTGAAATGATAAACAAGATCATATTCTCTACATTGCTTATATAATTCAACTTGTGATACAAACACTGATAAAGAATCTTAACATTGAGATGAAGAATAATGAGATAACTGATTCTTGAGATGAGAATGAGATAAAAGTGATTACTCAAGTAACTTTTATATTCACTTTATAAAAGATAATATTTTTTAATAACACTTTTTAATATTGCTTTTTAATAATACTTTTTAATAATACTACTGTTAATTTTGAATAGATTGACTAATAATTTAAATATCACAGATTCAAAATATTATTAATATGATTTATATCTTCTCTAAATAACAATAATAATTTCATAATATTTAATAAATAAATAAATCAGTCACATCACTGAATATGATACAGAATATTAAAATACAGTGAAGTTTAATATATAAGATAACTATTTAAGCTCTTTAATTATATCAGATGATTAATCATTGAGTGTAATACTCTGATTGAGAAAAGATTTAGATATTGAAACTTTCTGATATAAAGTAAACTCAGTTGAAATATGTAATTGATTTACTGTTTCAGTTTTATAAGACAATAAAGACAGTCTCAATCACTTGTATATTAATACTGCAGTCAGTCTGATAAATGTATAACAGTTTATTTACTTATCTTAAGAAGCAGTTGAATCACTTAAAAAGAAATCCAGTCTGAGATAATGCTATAGTGCAGGCTATTATTACTGTAAGAGATAAACTAGTATATTACTACAGTAAAACTGAACAATCTTTTACAGAGTACTATGCTATAGCAGCTCTACTAGATCTCTTCTATCAAGTTAATATCTACACTTCTCAAGATTGAACAGAGAAGAAATGAGACTTGTATATTAAATTAATCTGAGACTATTACAATATCAACTATCAGAGATTTGAAAGAGCAGATGTTAGAGATATAAAGACAGTGAAATACAATTCTCTAATAAGTAATAATCTTTGATAATACTTCATTATTACATAGAACTATAATACTAACTTTGAAACAGAACTTATATACATTGATTACAACTGAAAATCAGATAAAACTATATATCTATAAAACTGAATTTAACTGCTATTTTCAAGATAATTCAATAAATTTACACATCAAATCAATTCTAGAGTTATGAAAAATTGTTAAGAGTACATATTTAACTGTTATACTGATAATATGTAATATTCTGATAATTTTATTAACAGAGGTAAGAATAAAGTGAAAGTTTAACTTAAGTTAAGATATTTATCACTATTTAGACTGACTGTGTGACCGTGTCTGAGATCAGGACCAGAATTTTTGATAGTCTTATTGCCAATTCAACAGATCTCATTACACGGTTCTAACATTAGATAGTAGTCTCATACTGTCTCAGTGAAACTTACTGTCTACTCTTGTCACATTTTTCAAATGAGATCATGATTTTCACTTCTCAATTTAAATTATTTTTATTGCTTTAAATAACTTTAAATCTCATTTGAGTGTTATCAAAAAGCATTACTTTTTAAAAAATTAAATATAGTCTAAAAAAAACCTTAAAATGTCTAAAAATAGTAACTTTATGCTAAGAATGAGACTAAATGAAATCAAATGAAATCACTTTCTCATTTTTTCCAAGTTATGATTTCATTTTGAGATCTGACATATAGTCACTTTACATGTTTATTTAATGATTAGTCCCAGCGGGATTCACGCCAAGAAATGTATGAGACCAGACTAAATGAAATCAAATGTGAAATTCATGATCTCAGCGGCCAGTCTATCACTATCACTGAGAATAATTATGTTACGCTCCCGGCCGCGCCAAGGCCCCGTTGCAGTTTCACACGGCTCATCACTTTCATACAGATGATTTCATCTTATCTGAACTGGTTTTCAATCACTCTATGACATTATTCAGATATATCATAGAAAGATTTAATTAATGAATATAAGAACCTCACTTCTATACAAGGTCAGTAGATTACTCTTTCTTAACAATGAGATACTGCTGAGATATTGCTTCAGCTATTCTCACTCATGAAATGAAAGAAGAGTATTTACTCATTGTCTATATAGAATAGCTAGATGCTGACTTCTCATTAAAGAAGTCAGTGATTCATTTTTCTTCTACTGAAATATATATAAGAGTTACTGTGTATCTTATACAATCTTCTTAGTATACTAAATATTATATCTGTGATATTCTCACAATAACTCTGTAGTCTATGAGCTCACTATTTAAGCAAGATAGTTAAACTTACTTATATAGCTTCTTAAATAACTATCTCTATATAATATCACTGACTAGTTATTACTTCAGTTTCATCATATTACAATTTGAATTGCTTGACCTGATTATATGTTTGAATCAGTCAAGCTTTAACAGACTGATATAATCTTATACATCTATGCTGAGACTGATCTGATCTCATTCTCTGAGAGAAATACTACATCATTCTCTAGAGTATATATATCTCTATCTCAGCAGAAATCTGAGATTTCTGAAATCACTGCATATTTTGATATAAGCTCTTCAATCACTCTGTCACTGCCGCGGCCTCTACACACCTACATCTATTATGAAGATAGAGAGATTAAGATCAGAGATTCACTGAGATATAAGAGAAATATCTTATCTGAATTTCACAGCTTTATCTGTATTCTTGAACAGAAATTTCACCTTAACCTGAGTCAGTATAATACTCATGAGATATGAGTAATATACACTGTTAATCTTCTTGAAAGTATCTCTACAACTACTTGAGTCATTAAAAAGAGAGAGCTTGAGTGTATTAATACTGTTATAACTTGAAAAGAATTCAAGAACTTTCTACTGAATCAAATTGAAGATCACTGCAATCACAGCTTCACAGTGATACAGCAGTTCAACTTATTATATTAATAAGATAATGAGAATTCTTCTGATTTCAATACAAGATTTGAAGAATATTGAGAGAAATTAACTGATGATTTGAATCAATTAAAAACACAGCTTTATCTCGTGAAGCTGACTTATAAGATGCAGACAATAATATCATAATATCAGAGTTCATTAATCAATTATACTGAGCTTGTTAACCTGACTTTCTGAATCTATTTAAATAATCAATTCTCTGAGAAAAAGACTAACAAGATCTCTTCTAAGTAA